AAGCGTGTGTTTAATCCTTCCCAGCGTCATTCGAGTTTCCTGAAGACAACGTGCGTGCCGTTTTCCCCGACACTGTACGGTCGTAGGTCCTTACATTTTTACCCACCCCTAATCATGCGACTCTCTTAAGAATAACAGTACTTTGTTTCCGTGCCGCCCTTTGGATTAAATATTTGCTTCTTTTTAGTAGAGCTCTAAAGTATGGGTAGTTATATCATAAGTATTAACCTGTGCTTAAATGATCTACAACAACATGAAACCTGAGCTGCTCAGTGACTCACAGCAGAGGAAGTTTGTAAAACTAGGCCACTCCCTGCTGTAAGTGTCTTGGCGTTTGAATTGTACAACCCTGTTCACCACTAAAAGTATTCCCTGTGGGCATTACTGAAAATAGTTGCATAGTGCATTACATTATCTGTGATTTTCCATGCTCATGCTGTAGATATAATGATGATGAAGTACCTGTTGACAAGCCTACAGCAGAGCATGTCAAGCCACCACCACATCCGCATGTGACATATTTGTTTTTTAAGACGAGAAAGCATCCTGAAGAGACGTGACACAGCAGAAGTGATGTCTGAACACAGCCATGTGTATCCCTCAATCCAAAACTACATTACCACACAAAAAGGTCACGTCGCCTCCCCCCCCCCCCCCCTCGCTCTGGAAAAACGTCCAACTGGAAATAGTAGTAGTCAGTAGAAAACACTGACTGTGAATTATTCCAATTCACCACAACTGTGGCATGTGCATCCCATGACTTGCTAATGTTTCGCTTTAACAAATGACCCAGTTAACTGGTCAAAAACAACAAAAAAATGCAGTAATACTGCGCTGTGGAGCCACTCTAAATAAAGGACGTTCCTCAAAGGGATTGCTACATACATAACACGTAACATCCCGTATGTAATATCTTCATTCTCAGCGATTCTTTACACACATTTGAAATGAAGCAAGGTGATAAACCAGCTAATATGAGCTCTCTTACTGGCAGAATTTGTATATAAAATACTCTCATGGGTATTGTGTCTGTAGAAGGTCACTGTAGTCTCCTTTATTCACCTCGGGAGGAACCAATGAGCTTACTGGAGGTGTGCCGACCTCCTTTTGTGTAATCTGTCCCCCACACTGAACAGAGATCTCTGTAGTGTTTGCAGCTTCTTAATTATGTAACAGAGCCTATAGGAGGTCAAGGTGTTGTGCACAATAATGAGCCAATTTATGGTGCTAATTTAGCTTTTCATTTTGAAGTCTACAGTCGATGTAGATACCCTTTACTCTAAGAAGACATTATGCTTCGGATAATCTCGGAAGTAGCTGTGGAATTTACATCCTGCCTGCCACGTACGCCTTCAGGGGAAATCACATAAGGTTTCAGTTTACTGTGTTTCAAGCAGTTCTCAACGGACACCTTTGTTAACCCACCTGGCTGTTACGCCTCTGTGGAGTCGTGGATGCTGCTTGTTTTCTGATAAAGTGCATTGAAAAGAGAAAGGCACTGATGGGGGAATTAGGTCTCCTTAGACTGTTTGAAATAAAAGGCTTCTTCACTATCCTTCCTCCGAGCTACAGCTGACTGCAGCTGTATAATCCACAGACCTGCTCTTGTTGAGCTTGTGTGCTGAAACACTAATAGAGTTGTCCTCGAGCCACCCAAGCAGAAACAGCCCTCCCCCTTCCTCAGATGTGTTTCCACTTTGCAATTTCTGACGCTAAATGTTCACATGCTGTTAAGACAAAGCCCCCGCAACCCTGAAATAATAAAGTTCAATATGATTCCAGCTTATGTGTCTTAATTATAAATGATCTATTTACTTGTTTACTGGCAGCATGTTTGCGAGGCCTGGCCATTACATAACAAACAGTGTGCTAATGAGTGAATAATAATGAGCTCTTCCACTATCCTCTTCGTAAATGTGAGCAAACTGGACCACACCTCACTCTGTTCATCTGTGTGCCAATTCTCTCGTTGCTCAGGAAGACACACACGATAATTCCTATTTACATTACGTCTTATCTCGCATATTGTCTGCCCCTATGAAATAGTAAAGCCTGCGTTGGGAGCATGTGGCATTATCTGGTTCGTATTTCTGTTTGTGTGTTAGTGTCAATGCCCCATGTCGTCAGTTGCTACTCCGCCATGTGGAAAATGACTTTAGTGTACAGTAAATATAGCCGGGGAAAGACTTGACGCTGCTGTCTCTTTGAAGTCTTTATCTTCTTTTGTAAACTATTTATTCAACAGGTTGCAGTTGTCCTGTCACCTCACTGTGTAGCCTCGTGAATCTTCACAGCATCAGGGTGAGGATATAACAGACGGTATTTTAAAGTCAAACAGCTTCTTTCATTCGTCAAGCAGTAAGAGTCTGGTAATAATGTGTCGTGGGGGATCCAGTCACACGTGGAAAGTACGTCAGTTTACACCTGGCGTTAGAAAGCGTCTCGAGTGACGACTTGTGATCGGATCTCTCTTTCCTGCTGTATGTGCAAAAAAAAAAAACACCTACATCATTTGCGAAGACCGTTATGCTGGGAGACAATGGACAGTGTTGTAGAAAGAAATAACCTGATGTATGACATTTGAATAAGACTGCCAAACGGAGTCTGGGCCAGGTGACAAAGACGGTGCAATAATATGGTTATCATAGTCACTGTAACTGCATGTAAAAAATTGACATGGTTTACCCCTCTTGTAAAGTTTCTCCTCACTCAGCAACTCTCAAAATAGACGTTTAACGTTTTAAAAAAACTCTGGGGATGTTACAGTTTCTAGTTCAGCGGGACAAGCCATGTTTCTGCTGCTTATCTTGGCAGGTGAGAGACAAACATGTAATTTGCATTACAGTGAACCAAATGGAAATGAGTAGGCGGTCCTTCAAAGTCCCCCAAGACACATTTGTGTACACATAAAAAAGACTGGTAAAATACGGCACAGACCAGCACTTGATATGGTCCGTTAACCTCATGTAAGTCATGTAGCCCTCAGGCAAGAGCAGGTAATTGAAACGGGGTTAGCTCAATTATGCGGAACTCCTCCGAAGTTGGATTAGGACACAAACAAGAAAATGAAAGTGAAGAGATTCTCTTTTCATTTCACTGGCACCACTTTTTTGTAAGTCTCATCTCCTAAATGTGGGCTAATGTATTTAAATTGAGGCCTCGACTGGTTGAACTGTGAGATCTGTCTACGAAAAATGTTTTGTATGTATAATAATATTTCCATTTTGTCATTCAAGACTGTATTAGCTATGTGTCATACTAAAATCTACTACATTACATTTCTTACGTTCTTTTCCCCAACCTAAAGCTGCCACTTGATTCATATGTTAAACACATTGAGAATATCAGTTCTTTTAAAGTTTTTGTGTTACAGACACGTAGTAGTCAATAACAAGCAAATGTGGGCTGACAAGCTCCGACATCTCTGCATAGCCTAAAGAAAAATGAGAAGTATTTACATTAACCAAACCTGAACTCAGAACACTGATTTGTATGCTGAAATGGACACTGATGTATTTAAACTGTACATACAGCGTGTCACAGCCGATTGCTCTCATACGGTTGAGTATTCAGTGTTGTTTTTATAACGTGAGAAAACAGACGGGAACAATTCTAGTTAATCTTATCATTCATTCATCAGACACACACAAACTCACAAATACCGTTAAAACGAAACCGGCAATGAATATCAAGATAAATCACTCCCTCATGTTATTGTTCATGCCTTTGCATCTCACGTTGAATCTATCTATTTTCCCAGGGTTCCACCTGATTCCTCGGCTGTCCGGCATTGTGCCAGAGAGCTGCCTGTTGATTGTGGTGGGCCTGCTAGTCGGGGGTCTCATCAGACTAGCCGGAGAACAGGTCCCTCCGGTTCTGGACTCCAGGTTATTCTTCCTCTGCCTGCTGCCCCCCATCATCCTGGATGCTGGCTACTTCCTGCCCATCCGTCCTTTCATGGAGAACCTGGGCACAATCCTGATGTTTGCTGTCGTGGGGACCTTGTGGAACGCCTTCTTCGTCGGAGGCCTGCTGTATGCGGTGTGTCAGATCCAGCCAGGTAATCCATCCATCCTGCACCAGCTAGAGCTCCTGCCTTGCCTGCTGTTCGGCTCCATCATCTCAGCTGTGGACCCTGTCGCTGTGCTCGCTGTGTTTGAGGAGATCCATATCAATGAACTGTTGCACATCCTGGTGTTCGGGGAATCATTGCTCAACGATGCCGTCACTGTGGTGAGATTTTCACACTTCTATTTGTTGTGAGAAAATGCATTTGTTTCCTCTGTGGTCTAATAAGTTGATTGTTAGATAACATGCATTTTCCTGTCAAGAATACGTGATATGCTGAGGCGTGAGCCCTCGGTTGTAGCCCGTAGTAGCTCCTGTAGCATTCTTGTAGAAAGTTGTAACTCTATTGTCCACAGTGTTTCCTCTAGGAGATTTTTTAGCAGTGGGGGCAGGCCTGTCCGAACCCCC